CTAGTCTAACTGTTAATAAGACTGTTATCTTTTTGTAGTCTTCCTAGATACTTCTTGATTTTAAAAGTTCTGGATAAAATCTAAATTAAGTAGGTACTACTCGTATTATGTCATCGTCAGTACATACTAAAGCATCAGAACTCTTTATTTAGTTTTTGAGTAAAATGTAGTGTTTAACTTCATATTGTGTGCATACATGTACTTATCTGCATGTAATACTTTGCAAAATTATGTTGCTTCCTCGGGCACGTGAATTAGAGCGCATGTTAGAATTTTTTCTCGTAACTGACTAAGATTGTTATCTTCAGAGTTTAGCGTTTTAATTATAGAGCTCAACCATAATCTTTATTCATTTGGAACACATGAACCGCTTTGCTGGAGAAAGAATTTTCAAAATCGATTCAACAGTTCCAGTCCAGGGATAACCCATAAACAAACTATTACATCTTTTTGTTTTAATGGTGTTTGGATTAATTAGGACTGGTTATTGTGAACATCCTTGGAGAAGGATTTAAAAGCCGATTCAGATTCAGGGTATACATAAATACTCATACCTACTGATCACACAGCACACTACCATTTTCCCCCTGCGGCCTTCAAAGCCGTAAATAGCTAGATTTTAGTCCAGGTTGCTTAAAAATTAATTAATTTGATAAAAATAAAGATAGGAAAGTTCATTTTGAAAAACCTTGGGGGAGGCCTTTGTCCAGCAGTGGACGTCATTTGGGATTATTTAAATACCTTTCATTACTGATATCACATATTTTATCATCAAAATACATATCCAGTGTTACAGCTTTGACTTTCATTTTAATTGAACTGATAATGTTGTAACGGAATGACATTATTAAATTGTAAATCATCATTCTTTATACATTAAGTTTGTCACTATCGAGAAACACGTGAGTGCTTGGATTGACATTATGCAAGTAATTAGAATAAATTGTATGTAATCTTTATTTTGTTCTATCAAAAGCTCTTGACGCATTCAAACGGAATAATTATAATATTTAAAAGACAAAAACTTGTAACAATGATGTAACTGTTTAGCTCGAATTATCGTGAGGTCTGCAAAAAGAGGCTAAAAAATTACTTGAGTTTCTCACGCTGCTTCTTCTCAGCTCTGACCCAACTTATTGTCTCAAAGCAGTGGTAGGATAGGGCTTAATAAAACGATAGTGGAACGATACCAAAATACCAACATGATGCAATAAACATTTATGACTATGATTATGTAAAAGCCTATTGTAAAAAAAACTTAAATGATAAAGAAACTATTTATTTGGCACCAAATACACAATAAATCAATTTAGCTAAAAGACCCAGGACACTGATTTTCAGCAGGTGCCTGGGGCACTAGGAGCCTGCGTATAAAAACAATAACAAAAATGACAGTGACACTTAGTTTTACTTCTACTTGCTATGTATCTTCTATGGATCTTCCTCACAATGTATTCTAACTAGAAATTCCTATGTGTAATGCAGCATCGAACATTAACGTGATCAAGAAGGTCAGGTCACGGTCGATTCGCTCGTAGTCGGCGAATCATGATTCCACACGCATGTTCTGTGAGAGCCTTGGATCTGGCACCAGGGTACCTTCAGATTCCTATTTATTTGTTATACATTTTCCCTCTGCATCTTCACTTACTTTGAGGAAAGAAATACATCAAATGTGTTAGAAGTATGAATTCATTAATGCTGCTAAACTACTACTTACTCAAAAAAAGTATTAGTAGTGAGTAACTTCTACATTGCTCGGGTTGCTAATTAATAAGCTTTTCGGATGATGTCTAAAAAATCTAATTAAAAAAAATGTTTACAAAACGAATCCATTAGTTGTGTTTGCCGCGTACTACACAAAAAAGAACAATTTTCATTCGACATCCGATTTCATCAGTATTAAAATCAACACAGGTTCATGAATAGGTATTACTTAATATATTTGTGATGCCATATCATAATCGTGCATATCCGTGTTCGCTTTAATCAGGTGATTAACATTTTAGATAACATAATTTGTAATTTGATAATCATACTTCATTATCTGTTGCTTTTCAGTGCACTCGTACTGGTTTGTTGTCAATTGTCGAAGTCCATTCATGTGTACATACGTAGAAGTAACACCAAAGCTTTTGAAAAGGATGTTGTTGTAATCTGTACTCTATTGCTCACCCATTGAGTGTCACTTGAATAGATCGATCATAATCTCAAGGCGGGTTCTGTTCCAAATTTAAACACAAAGCATGCGCGAGAGTGGCGTGACATCCACCGGCCAACCGGCGCTCGGCGCCCGCGCGGCTGGTGCGTCGACCTCGTGTTGAACAAATTGATTAGTAACATGCGAAACTTTCTGTTTACGTTTGATAACATCTGAACTATCAGGTCTCATATTATCTGCACGTGTTATTGTATCAGAGGTGAATGCCGATGCTCTTTTATTTTCAGTCGCAAATCTCAGACGTTGATTTTCTTAAAATTTTCGGTCGTGAATCTCAGACGTTAGTCTCCCACGCATTAGAAGTTTATGCTCTCACGTTTATAATTTCTTTGAAATACTACGTCTGACTGTCTACCAAATAAACAGAATTTTGCGTTAGGAATTTTTCCTTGTCCGTTGTGTATTTTTCTAATTTACTCCGAAGAAGTATATAAATATACTTAAGACTCATATTTACCTAGTGTTATTGGTGTTCTAATAGATGGTCATCTGAATCAGGAAATAGCTGAATTCAAAGCTAAGACAACTGTGAATGCAAATTTCGAATACTACGATGTTGCCAATGCAAGGATAATTGCATATAAATCAATTACTAATCACTTCCCAGTCACAATCGCAAGGCGTCGCGTAGCACGCTTGTAGAATTTTAAAATGTAGGCATATTTGCTAATTAACCACGAAGCGAAAGTTAGCAAAAATGATAATTTAAATTGCAAAGACAGAAAAATTAAGCAAGTAAGAGTGTACAAACACCGCCCGCACATGTTGGTCTTGTCTTAAAATAAACGTCGAATATGATTTTTTTTCCATAGTACACAGTACACACTACACGTGGACGTTTCTACAATGTAAGTATGTCTTACATGGGAAAGTTAAACTGCTACATAGTTTACTTTGACGTGTGGATACGCAGAAAATAAATCTTTGGATGCGTCACACTGTCACACACGTTCCAACAGCCAAAATATTTTGTCGCCACCACCGACGCCGTCTATTCTTACAACTGAACTCAAAAATATATTTTTGTCTCGCCCACACTTTACAATTTTAAATATAACCGTCTCTGTCTATCGTTTGATCGCTAATATTTGTATTCCATTTGGAACCTTGCCCCTGACTTTCATAATGATGTAATAGTTAACGGTTCTATCGTATGTGCGTAGTCCAAAGAATTTGGCATACTCGTCTATTTGTAAACAGTATTGTTGAATTTTCCAAAGCGCGAATATTATTAAGGCCGTAAACCTTTTAAAGCTGTAAAGAAAAATTCTCTAAGATAAGTGGTCTAGTCTAGACAGCCCTGATAGCGTCCTGATAATTTTTAATATGATGTAATAAATGATCTTAAAATACACATTGAGTCTGTTTTCTTTTATTCTTTATCTGACATAGACAGTGGCTGACACGAGTTCATTTCTAGATAGGAAGTAATGTAGGTACCTATTTGCAGATTTAAAGTTAATAAGTAATAAATCTGTGTTTTATTGATACGACACTGTTTGCTAGTTATTATGCATCGAGAGAGACAAAGAGAGCAATACCACAGAATAATAATAAGTACTACGTACAGAAGTTTTACTTCGCGAAGGTATTTAAAAAAATGTATGCTCAATGTCATTAACAATATGGTGTAATTTAGCCTGTCTCAAGAGTCAAGCACCATTTTGTTGACAAACGTCAGTGATCGGCACTGCGCCGAAGCTATAGGGCTGACTTCGGTAAAATGATGTGACGTGAGGTGCCAAACTGCGGAAAATGGCGGAGGAAATACATGATTTAGCATGAATTATCATGAATAATATTAACTACTTATTTACCTCTCAGTGTCTTGAGGCAACTTAAAAAATTACATTCTGTGTTTTTATTATTTAGGCAGTTTAATACTGCACAGTATTTAGTACACCATTTTCTTTATTTTCTTCCATCATACACAAGAATACGCGTGCGTGAGTCAATGTTCGCTCGTATGTGAGGCCTTGTCGAATAGTGTCCTGTAGGTGGGCCATCGTGCGTGTTTTGTTTTCGATGTAAACTCGCGGAGATGAACAGGCCTGGCAATACATACAAGCAGAATTAAATGTAATTTAACTGTAACACAAAATGTGACAAATCCCTACCAGGCGGGCAGCGACAAATGTCTTATGGGCTTATCACGTAAAGTCGATAAAAAGTCTGATTAAACGATATAATGGTGCGCTCCTACGCTGGCTGGTCTAACATCACATCCTATGAACCAGGAACTCTTGTAAACAATATTAGTTTGTTTCCAATTCACACTGAAAATATTTTGAGTTTTGTCGCGAGCAGCGCGTCGTTGTTTCGCCTTGAAGAAGTTATTTATACAATGTTATCGTGAACCCAAACTAAATATAAGTGATGGTCATTAGCGATTTGTCATTTTACGCTGATATTCGCATGTTAGTAAATTGAGGAATTGTAGTAACAATTCATTTTTTTTCCATCCTATTGCATCGCAATTGCGACAAGGCGGCACTGCTGATTCCTCCATTTCTTCCTTCTTGGTGTTTTTTGTGCTACTTTTATTGGTTTATGACCTCTCGGTGTTTCAACTCAATTAAAGTTCTTAGAAATCGACGGGGTTTTAACTCAACCTTTGTCAAAACTCCTAAATCCGGGTCTCCAGCGCATGTTTTACCATACATAATCAACAAAAACATGTCAACATTCAACATTTTGTTTAGGCAATTTTTTTTTCTTTCTAATGAAAAAGGAGGAAAAAGTAAATCGAGCCTCTTTTAATTCAACCTTTTCTTTGTCCCCAGGAGTCATGGCACGACCCAAAAGTGGCGGAGACAGATGCAGTCATCAACGTCATGAACATAGGCAGGCACACGTGTGCCAATGGCGGTGTGTTCTCCAGATACTTCTGCGACCAGGCGCAGTGCTTCAAACTGCTGAAGTACGACTATAAGGATGTTGTTCCTACGGTAAGTGGCTCTGAACATTCATCATTTCAGCCGTAGGACGTCCACTGCTGAACATACACCGCCCCCAATGACTTCAATGATGACCGGTTGGCAGCGGCCTGCATCCAGTGTTACGGGATTATAAGACCTTCTAATTTGACACCACTATAAATCCTGCGCCAAGTCAGGCCAGTCTTGAAACTCGAAAGTGTACCTAAAGTTCATTGCCCTAAGATTGTTTTTATTGTCCCTTCTACCATAAATTGAAGAGCTTTTACTTATGAACATACCAAAATAATACTGAAATATTTATAAACTCTGCATCTGATACTTTTTCGGACAATCGCACCAAGCTGTGATTGTATGACTCACAAAGTGGGCGGGTCTTTCACGAATATATTGACTGCTTTGTTTAGCGAGACAAGACCTTATTGGTTATGATATGAATCACCCTCGTGAGATTGCTCAAGTCAGACTGACTTAATCTGCTTTCTTTCAATTGTCAACAACTTGATATAAATCGCTGTAGTTTTATGCCTCTTTCTCTTTGTGTTTCTGTTTTGTGGAAACTCAGACAGAATCATCTTATCGGTCAACCGTCTCTTAACCTTGTCTTGCAGGCTTCAATTAATTAACACAACGCCTTAATCCTTTACCAGGTAGTAATTAGACATAGCTCGTAGAGACGATGGCCGTTGGGGCAGAAAAGTTCTCGAGTGGCGACCACGGGCCGGAAGACGTAGCGTGGGCAGGTCTCCCCCTACTAGGTGGACCGACAATCTGGTGAAGGTCGCGGGAAGAGCCTGTATGCGGGGGCAGTTCAGAACCGGTCGTTATGGAAATCCGTGGGGGAGGTCTTTGTCCAGCAGTGGACGTCATTTGGCTGAAACGAACGAACGAATTAGACACCCCATATCAATATAAACTTTATTTCTATCTAATTAAGTGCCCTGGAAAGGACCTATGTACTGAATAAACTAACGCCCGTATTCACAAACATTACTATGAAACGTCGGGAGGGTAAATATTTTATTTACCGTTAAAATAGATATTGTTGCAATAAATCCCGTGAAGTGATAATTTTACATTACTATGAGGTCTCACAGTGCGCGTGGATACACAGGGTGATACACAAATCAGTCACAGAGCTCTATTCAACGCTGTGCGTTCGATTTGCTGCTTCACTTAAGCAAGCATCGTTTGTGAATACGGGCGTAAGGCTAAATCCATCTACCACCGAAGGCTCGACGCTATGACTTATACAGCTTTGTTTTCTTCCAGGTAATAAAAGACGAAGGCTTCCAGAGTGCCATAGACGAGGTGACGAAGCAGGAAGTCACCAAGGAGATGCAGGCCAAAGACACGGGCGGCGGGGACGCACAGTACGCGGCGTTGTATAGGAACATCAGGAAGAAGGTCGAGGCTCGCGCCTTGAGGGTGCTGAATAACATCAGCTCGGCCATGTCCAATGCTGTGCTCAAGTAAGTGATAAAAATACATAGGTCCTTTCCAGGGCAATACACGTCCCAAATATAGCTTGCCCTACCACCACTTCGGGAAAACATATGGGCTGTTGCTGAGAAGAAGTGGTGGAAGAAACTCGAGTCAGACGATATTCAATTCTTTATTTTATTTTACATTTTGATTCTGAATAGTATATTACCTGAGGCTAACCTTTTTAAGCTGTTCCTCATCTGGTAACAAGCGGAACCTAATTAGCAACCAATTTTTGCGTTTAAATTAGTGTTACCTTCCTCCAATGACAATTGTCCAGTCCAATTACTGAACTTTCCCCCGGGACAAACTCGACCTTTACTGTAAGCAAAATAAAGGGAATCATGCTCATGCATTGGAGATTGAACTGATGATGAAAAGTTCAAAATCAAAGAGAACAACAACTTTGTTCAAATCAAGATACAACTGGTGGTGCAACTCCTTACTTGTCTTTAACTGTGACTATAGCCATAACCGGTGTTTTTTGTATGGACTTTGACATCCTTTCAAGTTTGTTATAATAGTTAAAGTAAGATGGTGCTACCCAGCCTGAATTTTTTACTTGCTACAAATTTCACTTGAATCTTTTTATAAATTCTCCACCAGATTCGTAGCCTGGGTGTGTCACAAAGCCATTCGCCGCATCGCCGGCGGCGGCTGCGGTACTCGCATGGCGTGCGTCGAACGCCTCCGTCGTGCTAAGGCAGCTGGTCTGCCGCTGATCTTCGTGCCCCTGCACCGCTCTCATCTGGATTACATCCTGGTCACCTTTACGCTGTACCTGACTGGTCTACGGCCGCCTCTGGTCGCTGCAGGGGACAATATGAGGATACCGTTCTTTGGGTGAGTCTATCAACCTATTTCTAGCTAGTCTCATCTACGTACCCCTGCAACACTCACACCTGGATTACATCCTGGTCACTTTCACGCTGTATCTGACTGGCTTGAGATCTCCTTTGGTCGCTGCAGGGGACAGCATCAGGATACCGTTCTTTGGGTGAGTCTGCCAACCTCAGGTCTTCTTAAAATGAGCATTAGGTCTCCTTAGATGCCAAGGCAGCTGGTCTGCCGCTCATCTTCGTGCCCCTGCACCGCTCACATCTGGATTACATCCTGGTCACCTTCACGCTGTACCTGAGTGGTCTACGGCCGCCTCTGGTCGCTGCGGGAGACAATATGAGGATACCGTTCTTTGGGTGAGTCTACCAACCTCAGGTCTTCTTAGATGCGACTAAGCAACCGGTCTGCCGCTCATCTTCGTGCCCCTGCACCGCTCACATCTGGACTATATCCTGGTCACCTTCACGCTGTTCCTGACTGGATTTAGACCGCTTTTAGTAGCTGCTGGACACAATATGAGGATACCGTTCTTTGGGTGAGTCTACCAACCTCAGGTCTTCTTAGATGCGACTAAGCAACCGGTCTGCCGCTCATCTTCGTGCCCCTGCACCGCTCACATCTGGACTATATCCTGGCCACCTTCACGCTGTACCTGACTGGATTTAGACCGCTTTTAGTAGCTGCTGGACACAATATGAGGATACCGTTCTTTGGGTGAGTCTACCAACCTCAGGTCTTCTTAGATGCGACTAAGCAACCGGTCTGCCGCTCATCTTCGTGCCCCTGCACCGCTCACATCTGGACTATATCCTGGTCACCTTCACGCTGTACCTGACTGGATTTAGACCGCCTTTAGTAGCTGCTGGACACAATATGAGGATACCGTTCTTTGGGTGAGTCTACTTAACTTTAGTAGACCGTGGTCTGCCGCTCATCTTCGTGCCCCTTCATCGCTCACACCTGGATTACATCCTGGTCACCTTTACGCTGTACCTGACTGGTCTACGGCCGCCGCTGGTCGCTGCTGGAGACAATATGAGGATACCGTTCTTTGGGTGAGTCTACCAAACTCAGGTCTTCTTATCATGAGCATTAGGTCTGCCGCTCATCTTCATGCCCCTGCACCGCTCACATCTTGATTACATCCTGGTCACCTTCACGCTGTACCTGACTGGTCTACGGCCGCCTCTGGTCGCTGCTGGAGACAATATGAGGATACCGTTCTTTGGGTGAGTCTACCAACCTTAGCTCTAGTCTCATCTTCGTCTACTAACGGTACAGCATCAGGGCTTCTTAGATGCGCCAAGGCAGCTGGTCTGCCGCTCATCTTCGTACCACTTGACCGCTCACATCTGGACTATATCTTGGTCACCTTTACGCTGTACCTGACTGGCCTAAGACCGCCTCTGGTGGCTGAGGGAGATAATATGAGGATACTGTTCTTTGGGTGAGTCTACCAACGTTAGAGCATTATGTCTTCTTATATGTATGTGACTTTGCTGTTAGTCTGCTCATAGTAGCTGCTAGAGAGAACATGAGGATACCTTTATTTGAGTGATTCTATCAATCTTTGGATTATTGTAATGAGCTGTGCGTCAGTCAGCTGTTGTAAGACATTTGGTGGTATGTAACGGCAACACAACCTTTTCCATTATGTTTAAAAAAAGTTTACCTATCTTATTGTCTTTAGAGAGAACAATAACGTCCTCTTTTTCACTTAAAAACAATTGCTATTTGTATCCGATACATTGAATCTACCTAGACACTATCACCTTTTATATGCAATAAGTACCTAAATATGAAAGTAACCTCCCATATAAACTTCTTGCCCTCTATTCGAAAAAACATCATCATTTCAGCCACAGGTCGTCCACTGCTGGACATGCACCTCTCACGATGATATCCAGATCGGCCGGTTCTTAACAGCCTGCATCAAGCACCTTTCTGCTTTATGAGGTCATCTGTCCACCTTGTGGGTGGTATGGAATAAATATTACAGTTCATAATGTTATTGTTGCAGTTGGTTCCTCCGAGGTTGCGGCGCATTTTTCATCCGCCGCCGCGTCGATGGCTCAGACAAACATGGCGACCCGATCTACAAGTCTGCACTTAGGTAAATATTGAAAACTGCGAGTTTGAGACCAAAAACCTTTTTTTTTTCGTCGGGAAACGATTTGCCCAACCAACTGTCCGATAAGAACGGCCAGTTGGTATAAGGCTATGGGGAAATTTCCCCGCCAGAAGGGTGGAGACTACCCACTAAAACCCGACGGAATCCTCTAGGGCTATTCAAACGGAGCCGCCGCATTAAAAACCGCTATGGCGGTATGACTTACTCGTATCCTTATACAGTCAGCGTCAAAGAATTCGTGACACCCAAAGCAGCCAAAAAGTTCGCAACACAACCTTATTCCAATGAGGGCTATCGTTTTTATACTTAACAGTTGGCACCCCTGGCGATTGACAGGACCTTACTCTACAGTGGCGCCATCTTGATGAGTGCAAATGCGATAGTCCTCCTACCACTTTAGCGCTCACAAGTTGGCGCCACTGTCTTCGCTACTAGCAAGTGACAGGACCTTACTCTACAGTGGCGCTAACTGGTGAGCGCTAAAACGATAGCCCTCATTGTAACAAGGATGTGTTGCGAACTTTTTGGCTGCTTTGGGTGTCACGAACTATACGATGCTGACTTTGCAACAAGGACGTTACAAATACAGTTTTCACACTGTCCGAGGGTCCAAAACCGTACCTCCAGTGCATTGTCTTTAGTCTTATAAATGCTGGTCGATTTATTATTGCAATTCTTGTATTACAACGTTTTTTGTTTTATTTCCAGATCTTACATCCTCAACAGTTTAGCTGCAAACAATAACCTGGAATTCTTCATTGAAGGAGGACGGACTAGGACCGGCAAACCTCAGCCACCGAAAGGTATGAAAAATTAATTAATATCGCCTTTAGTAAGCATTAGCTTTATATTTCCTTAACAATAGGTTTTATAATAATCTAAAGATATGCTAGACTGTAAAAGTCGATATATTTACTAAAAGCTACAATAATTCACTTCTAATTCTATTTTGACATGCTTCCATTTTGGATTTAGGGGTATTATCAGGACGTAAGTAAGAATTTCAAGTATTGCAAAAGAGTTTTTCCCGCCACTTCTCAGCACCAGCCCGTTTGTTGTCCCGAAGTGGTGGTAGGGCAAGCTATATTTGGGACGTGTATACGCGCCTTGGAGATGGCCTAAATACTGAATAAAATATTTGATTTGATTCTTAATGCATTATGTCCAAAGGGTACTACAAGCTTTGATGACAAGGATGCGTGGTCAGTTCAGTCTGCACATATTTGATGTACTTGAATTTGGTTATTCTTACCGTTAGATAATTCCTGGCAATTTGTGGTGACTGAGTTTGTTCCGGCGTTTCTTCTCAGCACTTGCCATATGTTTTTCTCGATGCGCTGGTAGGGCCCAAAAGATAAGGAGACATGTAAAGTGCCCCATAAGGGCTACCTTTCTTTTTTTATTATTTACTATATTTTGACGTTCATAAATGCCACTTGTGGTCTAAACTGAATAAATATTTTTGATTTGATTCTTAATGCAATAACCTATTTGACCTTTCTATACAGGGGGTATTGCATATCTTTCTCGATAATATATTGTAAATTTTGGTAATTAATAATGGATTATATCCGTAATTAGCACTAATTAACGTCACTGATTAGCTAATACGTTGTAATCGTAGAATTTTTACGATAAATATAGTTCAATATCCTGAAACTTTCCTAATCAATCGCTGTTGCTATTGAAACTGCATTAAAAATGGCAGCCAATTTATCGATTTGTCGACTTAATCAGGATATAACGCTCGTATTCACAAACATTACTATAGGGGTCTCACAGTGCACGTGGACGCACAGGGTGACACACGAACCAATCACAGAGCTCTATTCAACGCTGTGCGTTCGATTTGCTACTTCACTTAAGCAAGCATCGTTTGTGAATACGGGTGTAATAATCACACTACAGGAATCGGCCACACTGAATGCGTTCTACGGTCTGCTATCAGGTCAAACATCATTGTCCAACGTTCCTACTTTAGGGATATAATAAAGCGTTCTTTTATAGAAGTTGTGCGTGAGATTCAGTTTATAGATCTAACGCTTAACTCAGTGTCTGAGGTATAGTTCCAAAATACTGAACTGTCCTATCCATGACATTGACAGTGGGGCGCCACCGTCAATACCGGATCGCTGGTTCCGATTTTTGCCATGTTGGAAACCATATAGTTGAACGATGGTATCGCCCCCCTGTCATTGAGTTTGGTGGGACAGTTCAGCGTGGGTCATCTATATGGGAGCGGTTTGGGTGAAGTGACGTGACAGAGCATATAAATTTGAAGTATATCTGAAGTCTCGTTGACGTTTGACATTACAAAAACACCCTCCCGTGCCGCTCTATCATCTAATGAGGATCATTTCGATTTTTAGCTGTGAATGCAGATTTATAGGGCTAAGAAATCCTTAATACACAGTGCAAAAATTTTTGTTCTACGACAAAAATTGACGAAGTTATGGCCAAATTACTAAAAAAGTTCACTGACCGCCCGGCGCGGGGACGATGACGTCATTATATCCGATCCGAACGCTGCCGACGTACTGCGTGGATAGAAAATATTTTTTTCTGGCCAAATTATCAGTTTTAGAGAAAAACTTGTAATGACATTTATTCATCAGAATAAAGTAAGCTATCGATAGGTAATTTTTAAGTATAGAAATTGTGAAAAATAACGCAAAAAATCCATACGCTCATACGATTCAATGGCACGCAGAGACGCGATTGGGGTCTCCGCGGTGGTATATTTGGCGATTTATTCAAATAAAGTGTTCATAAGTGTTNCCTCATTCAATCTAACTCAATCTAACCTATCATCTAATTTTAAATTATTGTTTAGTAGTAACTGCTTATTAACACAAACGACTTGCACCTCTATCCCCTATTAAATAAGTCCTCATTCACCTTGCAAACGCTTCTAACAGCAATCATTTCTTCCAGCGGGCATCCTCTCAGTTATAATGGACGCGTACCTAGACGGTACCATAGACGACGCGCTTCTAGTGCCTGTATCGTTGAACTACGACAAACTGGTGGACGGGAACTTTGTGAGAGAACAACTGGGAATGCCCAAACAGATGGAAACCTTCTGGTCGGCTTTGAGGGGCATTTGGAGCACTCTGAACACCAACCACGGCAGTATTAGGGTGGACTTCAACCAGCCTATTTCTTTGAAGGTAAGTTTAAAGACTATCTTTATTCCACCTACACTGTTTGAATTAAAATGATAAATAATACCACAAAACGGGACTATTCCCATCGCTGCAACTCCTGTGTAGCCAGGATCTACAGCTTGATTAATAAAGACTGTAAAGTGGTTTTTTCTAACTATCGATTGTAATCTTCATTTTATATGTAAATTCAGGAACCAGTTCCTTTTATTTGGCCGGCAGTTGGGTCGGATTCCAATTTTGTATGAGGAATCGGTCGATATCAAATCAGTGCAATGTGCGCACTTCCATACATGTTCATAGCCATACTGTTTAACAGCCCGACCCAACTATCGACTGAAAANGCCGGAAAAAAGTCTCAGGTATCTTATAATATTAGCTCAGCAATGTCATCTGACATAATGACAAAACTGCTTACGTTTGTTGACACTGTTGTTCTAACACTAGTAACTAATTTAACAATTTATTTCCAGGAACTGGTGACGTCCTTCCAAAAGTACAACTACCTCAAGATGCCTGTAGAGCGGCCTTTGACGCCGCCCAACAACAACAATTTGGGCGTGGACCTCGACCACCGGATCCTGTATAACAACAGCCACTCCAGTCTGTTCGGTGCTGACGTCAGCGCGGATCACAAGCTCATGATTGAGGCTATTGGCAGGCATTTAGTCTATGGTGAGTGTTCTACTGAAATAACTATGTCCTTTCAGAAGTACATTACCTGCAGGTCACTGGATCGAAATCATTTTTTACAGAGTTAACTGATAATGATATTCAATGACTATGTCGATATGCCTTTCATCATCAGCACAGAACGGAATAGTGTTCTGTATTTATCCAAGTCATAAGCTTAAATCATCCAGTATGCACTAAAATTACACTATAAAACTTAAGGAACTGCGTTTTATTTGACTATTTTCAATCTAAATAATACAAATTCGTACTAATTTCTTCCACAGACGCATCTCAAGCCACAGCACTTATGTGCACGAACGTGGTATCGTACGTCCTACTCACAGAACACAGATCGGGCTGTACTATGAAGCAACTGCAGGCCAGTGTGGAGAACCGCGGTCAGAAACTTAGCCAGGCCGGCCGCGACCTCGGCTACACAGGAGACACCCCTGCCTTGGTGCATCACGCTGTGAGTGTTGTGTTATTGCTGTATGTTCTTCTTATAGGACATTGCTGGCATTATGTACTGAATTTTTAATTGTCATCATCATATTCATAAGGCCGGTCTCCACTACAGAATAAGCCTCTCTTATTTACCAGGGGCAAGATGATTTCGTCTACATTGGCCAGACAAATTGAATTCTTCCTTAGTCAACAACTTATACGACATCCACGGTAAAAGTGGCAGTGAATCTATTAATATTCTGTCCTACCACACGACTATACGATGTCACCAAATCAATGAAGTTCGCAAACTCATCTGACTATTGATCATTTTCTGTTACACATAATTACATGCGGTGTTTGCATCAACTAGGTTTTACCACAGAATAATAATAAGTACTACGTACAGAAGTTTAACTTCGCGAAGGTATTTAAAAAAATGTATGCTCAATGTCATTAACAATATGGTGTAATTTAGCCTGTCTCAAGAGTCAAGCACCATTTTGTTGACAAACGTCAGTGATCGGCACTGCGCCGAAGCTATAGGGCTGACTTCGGTAAAATGATGTGACGTGAGGTGCCAAACTGCGGAAAATGGCGGAGGAAATACATGATTTAGCATGAATTATCATGAATAATATTAACAACTTATTTACCTCTCAAAGTCTTGAGGCAACTCAAAAAAGTACATTCTGTGTTTTTATTATTATTTAGGCAGTTAAATACTGCACAGTATTTAGTATACCATTTTCTTTATTTTCTTCCATCATACACAAGAATACGCGTGCGTGAGTCAATGTTCGCTCGTATGTGAGGCCTTGTCGAATAGTATCCTGTAGGTGGGCCATCGTGCGTGTTTTGTTTTCGATGTAAACTCGCGGAGATGAACAGGCCTGGTNTCTGTTTACGGTACTTTTTAATGATACCTACTTACGCTTATCACACTTGCATAGCTAATAAGACCTGTGATACCTACTACATTGTGATAGAATAACGGTTATGAGTAAAAGCACGGTTTAGTTAATAATGTTTAATAACCTAGGTTCTGTAAGATTATTTAATTTGCGGAAAGAAACAAATTCGTGTAAAGGGTTTTTATTAATAAAAGTGTAATTAATTATTTTTTAGAATAAAAACTAAACTGGTAAGGTGATATTAAGGTGTAAGTAACTAATTTAAGTACTCAATTCATTTTTACAAACTGGGTAGATTTGGCTTAAGCTTATTCCAGTTGGTCCAGTCGTAGTCGTTGAACTCACAGTAGAGTTGAATGACTCATGGGCGAGCGCGGGTTGCGGTTGCGGGGCGTGGGGGCAGCGCTTGAGCGTGTGTGCGCGCGCTACTGTACATTTCTTATTGTAAAGACAAAAGCCTTATTGTGACGAAAATACTCAAAATTTTAATAAGGTTTCTTAGAAAACATTTTTTTAAATAACGAATTGTAACTGATAATGTAAAAATCTTGAAAAAAATATTCTGACTTTGACCTTCAATATCTCCTAAACCACAAGTTTCCCAGGTATGGTCCCAAAGAAAAAAATGATCCTCATGATGTGGAGAATAAGTAGTCTTCGGCTTCGGGATAGGTTTTTTTACACCCGTTATACTTGGACATTTTACACTGCGCCGCTAGTCCCAAACTAAGCAAAGCTTGTACTATGGGTACTAGACAACTGATACAAACATACTTAAATACATTTTTTTTTGTAAATACTACTTAATATACATAGAAAACACCCAGACCCGTCACAGAAATTAAAATTCATCATTTCAATTTTTGCCCGGCCGGGAATCGGACCCGGTACCTCTCGGCATAGTAGTCCGTTCTGAACCACTACACCAAACGGCCGATTAACCATAGGCAAGATGATTCCGCCTATACTGGCCAGATGAATTGGGGAGGGCTGATGTTCGCTTGTTTCTTCCTTAGTCCACATAAACGACATCCACGGTAAAAGTGGCAGTGAATTTATTAATATTCTGTCCAAACTACACGACCATACAATGTCACCAAATCAATGAAGATCGCAAACCCATCAGAGGTGGAATTTTGTAAAGCAATCGTAATCATTTGACAGTTCATAACGTACGATAAAGTCAGTTAAAGCTTTCGACAGAATAATCGTACGTTATGAACTGTCAAATGATTACGATTGCTTTACACAATTCCACCTCAAATTATTTATTGATCATTTTCTGTTACACATAATTACATGCGGTGTTTGCATCAACTAGGTTTTACATTTATAATGTCAAGTAAGTTATGTTTATTTTAAGTAATGTACCTAACTTTTTAAAACCAATATTGCACACCTAAAAAATCATCTCAAAGCTGCCAAAAATATAATTTTAACTTAATTGAAAACTAACTTTACTTTCAGGCTAGAAAGAAGTTGTATCATGGAAATTATTTCTTAAACTTACTTACCGCCATGTTTGCCCACAGCTGGACATGTTGGGCCGCGGGCTAGTGAGGCGGGAAGGCAGCGGAGACAAGCAGGTCATCAAGCCTCAGCTTTCCATAGCGGCTTCCATAGAACTAGGATACTACGCGAACACTGTGGGGGCACATTACGCGCCTGCTGCTATTATGGGTAAGTCATAAGTCCGGTCGCCGAGCAGAAAGAATTTCGTCCAATGACCCCAAGCTACCCAGCCTTATCGCTCGCGCGTAATTATATTGCTGTCGCGACTGTGCGACGGGCGGCCGCAGTGTGCGAGCGCGACAGCAATATAATTACGCGCACAGCAATATAAAAAACTATTACACAGTTTTTTTTTTTCGTAAACGTCCTTCCTCCTCCTAAAGCTTGTGTTATGAGTGGATTCATAATAGTCCAGTGGCGGTCTTGATTTAGTCAGTCCGATACCGACATCATTGGGCTATTGGCGTTTACAGTATACTATCAGTTTCAGAATAAAGATAAATAAGTACATTGCGACATGCTTTTCATTGCACATATTTTAACCATGTTATTAAAAACAATATATCACAATGTCTAAAGTACTTTTTTGTAAACATTTAAGAATGCACCTTTAATGCAATAAAGATATTGACTATTATCTTCTAGAATTTGTTTATTCAAATTGGATATGAATTTGGTTCTTTGATTTGAGTAAGATACTAAATTTGGTCCTTCAAGCCAGATACTATATTTGGTCCTTCGAGCCGGATTTTAGTTTTTTATTCAATATCTTCTTTTTCTCACAGCGACAGCATTAGAGAGCATTCTCCACCAGCCGGGCGCGGACCACCAGTGCGTGCGGCACACCGAATTGCTCGACACGGCGCTGCAGCTGTGCGAGGTAAATAGATAAAGCCCAGTCTGTGAGCACGTAGAATTTTGTCCAATGACCCCAAGCTACCCATCCTTATCGCTCGCGCTTAATTATGTTGATGTCGCGCTCGCACACTCACTGCGGGCGCCCGTCGCACAGTCGCGACAGCAACATAATTTACGCGCGAGCGATAAGGATGGGTAGCTTGGGGTCATTGGACAAAATTCTACGTGCTCACAGACCAGACTATAGAACGTATTTATTTGACGCCTTTTTTTAGTAAAGTCGATAGAAATTCCATTATTATAGTCTTGTTTGAAATTACCGGACTTGGTTTTTACAGCATTACGAATTTTAGCAACCGGTTGCTAAAAATATATGGCAACTAGCGCCACCTGCAGTTGAATATGGCGCTGGTGTATCACGTTGCTATCGTATGTTTAGCAACCGGTTGCTAAGATCTGCAAATGACCGCACGAACCGGCGTGCGGTTTGGTGGTAGGTTATTTATTATACTTGAGAAATTCAACATTTTACAATTTACATCGTTCAAAACATTAAATTAGAGATTATAGAGTTTCATAACTACTTCATATATTCATGCAAGGTCTAAAACTAGGTACTTATTTTACATTGAGATGGAGTGGTTTGCTAGGGAAGACACATCTCAATCACTCCACAGACGCGAGTGGGCCTGGTGTACGGTAACAGAGTAAATACAAATGTGTAGGTCATCTTCATAGAAATGCACGGGCGCGGTTTATATGTGAGCGCTCCAACACGTATGCGGCGCGCACGCTCACACTGACAAAATTTAGCGGGGATTAGCGGGGAGCCAGTAGTAGTCGTGGTTGCGCCGAATTTTGTCAGTGTGTGCGTGCGCGCCGCATACGTATTGGCGCGCTCACATGCAAACCGCGTTCGGTGCGTTTCTATGAAGATGACCTACTCATTTGTATTTACTCTGATGGTAATTTAAAAATTGCCATTCCAAATGTTACAATCGTATTTTTTTCCAAAGGTACTGCAATTGGAGTTCATCCTTGCTGCGCCTTGCACGCGCCTGCGAGAGACCATGCTGCAAGCGCTCGACGCGCTCATACACGCGCAAGTGTTACGCGCTAATGAGGTGAGTTGACGATGTTACGCGCACTAATAGCGCTACACACATGCGATATAGTGTTCCCGACATCAAACATGCACCATACCGGAGGGGCCGGGGTGGTGTCACGACCTCCCTAAAGCGGCCCCGAGACGATCAATCGCGATTGTCAATGTATTTACGTTATTGACAATTGGGTATTTGACACCATTCGCCAATAATTCTAAACCACAACTTTTTAAAAAAGACACTTGTTTCTGGTCTTAAAAACTTAATTAATTTTTAATTACCTGTAAATTACGATTTTTGGTTGCATTATAATTGAAAAAAGTAGTTTCATTGAGTTGATAAAATTGTGACTAGGGTTTCTGATTTCTCGACCTATTTTTTTTCTCGAGTTTCGGGAATTCTCGAGGCCAAAGTCTCGAGTTTTCTCGGGTCTCGAGTCTTTTAATTAAAACTGTTGAAATCGGTTGAAATTTAATAAAAACACAGGTTTTTTAATCTAATACACCTACTTGAATGCACAACAATCAATATTAGAATTTAGTATCACTTAGTAAGTAAGGAAACAAACAAAAAATTAAATCTTCTTTCATAATTAATATTAACTAATAATCTTATCTTAGTTATTAACTAAAGGAACAAAAGTCATAAAGTCGCGTGTACTTTAAGGATAAATAATAATAAAAAATCTGGAGCTACAATTTATTGAATCACTTGTTTTCCAAAAAACACAAGTCCGCAAACAATAGCAAAATTACGACAAATAGTTTTTTTTCTTAAAAAAAATTTAATACATTTTTGAATTTCTTAAGGATAACGATTTGAATAAACTTTAGTACCTAACCTAACAGACAGTTAACAAATTTTTCGGTCTTTAAATCAGTCATAGTTAAACATAGGCATAATAAATAGGTATAGCATACTCGTAGGTAAACATTATTACTTAGTTTCGATTGAGATCATTACTTGCAAATCAAATCAGTTAAAAAAGGATTGACTAGGCCAGTCTAAAAGCAACGTTAACCTATTAAATAATCAAAAACTTACTTTTGTCTAAGAAAACAGGCTTTCAATAGTATTAAAGCTTCAAAATCGAAACTCGAGAATTCTCGAGCTCCGGCAATTTTTTTCTCGTCTCGAATGATGCCAAATTTCTCGAGTTTTCTCGAGTTCGAGAAGGCTCGAGCAGAAACCCTAATTGTGACGTCACATGCTAGTATTGCCGTACAAAATCTATGGGAGAGTGTCGTTTTGACAGTTTTAAAAAGTACGTCAATTGATTGGTGGTGTCAAATACCCTATTCCAATTGACGGAAACGATTGTCAATCGCTCAGCTAAACGATCAATAATAGCTTCAATGGCACCTGTCAATTGAGCTTCAATTGAAATTATCATCAATTTGCTTCAATCACGTAAATTCAATTGACAATCTCTTCAATGCCTTTTGTAAACGATCAATGTCAATTGTCAATCACGTAAAATTGACAATCGCGATTGATCGTCTCGGGGCCGCTTAAGAATGGTCTGGTGTTCGATTTAATTGTTATACAGTGTGTCCGGGCTTGTAGTGATCAAACTTTAAGGGCGTAATCTATGGACAATTTTATCGATGAAAATACTTCAAATTTGGGGCCTGACCCATTTCTCGAAAAATTACATCGATTTAAGTTTTTAATTTTTAGTTTTCACCTTTTCCTTCAAAAACAAGTGAAAGCGTGGGTAGCTTAACATTAATAAGCAAATATTTTATATCACGCGATAGCCAATAAAATTATCTATTAGCAGAAGTAGAAAACAGATACAAGTTTCATACATTTTAAGGGAGTAAGAATGGATTTAATTAGAAAAAAACATGACTTTTTTCACTTCTTTTTCAGTTATTTTCCAACACAAGAAAAACCAGGTCGTTAAGGTATGTTTTATTTGCATTGTATTATTAGTATTTGAGCTATTCTACAAAACGAATGTAAATTTATTAGTCTACGTCTATTAGTTTCGACGTAATTCGTAGCGTGGGCAGGCCTCCTACTAGGTGGACCGACGATCTGGTAAAGGTCGCGGGAAGAGCCTGGATGCGGGCAGCGCAGGACCGTTCATTGTGGAAAACCTTGGGGGAGGCCTTTGTCCAGCAGTGGACGTCATTTGGCTGAAAAACGAACGAACGAACAAAATAAAATAAATAAATTAACCTTTGTTTTGTCTCCTGTTATCCTCTTAACTTCGAACTCTTCCTATGTTACGGGTCCAATAATAGTTTAACCTTCCCCCCCGGGACAAACTTGACCTTCACTGGTTGGGTTTTTATTGGCTGCTGTAGATCCTGGCTATACAGGAGTTACAGCGATGGGAATGAGAGGTGGGAATAGTACCGTAACATTACACGCGCTGCTTACACTCCAAAATACTATCTAAGGCTTAAAACGCACTAGCGAAACCACATGATCTCGGTGCGTTCAGTGGGCCTAAGATGCGCGCCGTGATAACTTTTATCAACGTCAAAATGTATGGGCAAAATCGACAAAATGGCGTCATAACACGCGCATTTTAGGCCTACTAGTCGTCAGTGCGGTTTCATATAAATTGCGGCGCGCTGCATCGCGGCCTGCCGCTTAGTGAGTTTTAAGCTTTTAAACTTTCAGGGCCTAAATTTTAGTCTCTTTTTGTTGAATCAATAATAGGCTAGTTTCCTAAAAAAATTTTTTTAGTCCGTCATGTTTAATATCAAAAAATATTGGACACATATATTTTTGTTTGTCAATCTAACAAATAATTACATAGTTATGGTGCGTTGAAGTTCTGCACGACGTCACAACGTGCGGCACTTTTATGCACGCATTAACGTCACGGGCCTCATCTTATGAACTTTGGCGCGCTTTATCTCTTTAAATTTTCATTAGTTTGAAAAAGTGAAAAGTACGTGTAGGGTATTTTTTGATAAGTTAACTGACGGACTAATTAAAACTCTTGCTTTTTGACCCAGGAAACATCCCTATTCATTGACCATTTTTATTTACATACCTATATCTCTTTACCCACAGAAAGTGGACGGTATAGAGGAGCAGCGGTGGTCGCGGCGTTTCGCGGCGCGCCTCGAAGACGACGACGAGGAGCGGCCCGACCCCACCGCGCACCTGCGGTATACCGTCAGCCACGATGCAGAAGCCATTGCTGAACGGTGAGTACATAAGAGAGTAAATTTTCTTTACTGAAAATATTCCTTAATAAAAATGGCGGGTGGGCCAGAACTGCACAAGAAAAGGCAANTATTCACTTATTAGTTTATTTTGAAATTTGGTTTAATCGAATGACAGTTATTAAACGTGAAATAACAAGTCGCTGAGTCGCGATCTTATCGAGTAATCGTTCTATCGAAATGACACGTGAATACGGATTTAGGACTGTTTTTCAATAGGACGTCTTCTAAACATCAACGACAAAATGACTTACAAATATGTGAATAGGCCATAGGGTAATGCGGTTTTCATATAAATTGCGGGGTGCGTTGCATCACAGCTAGCCCCTTAGTGCGTTTTAAGCTTAAACTCATGTAAAAATTCAGCCTCTTTTTGTTAAATTCATGATTTGTTCTCCATTTTGATTGAAATACCCCGGTCAGCAGCTTAGTGAGTTTTAAACTTTTAAATTTTCAGGGACTAAAATTAGTCTCTTTTTGTTGAATCCATAATTCATTGACCATTTTTATTTACATATCTCACTTTACCCACAGAAAGTGGACGGTATAGAGGAGCAGCGGTGGTCGCGGCGTCTGGCGGCGCGTCTCGAAGAAGACGACGAGGAGCGGCCCGACCCCACCGCGCACCTGCGGTATACCGTCGGCTACGATGCAGAAGCCATTGCTGAACGGTGAGTACATTAGAGAGTAAATTTTCTTTACTGAAAATATTCTTTAATAAAAATGGCGGGTGGGCCAGAACTGCACAAGAAAAGGCAAATTTATTTGCGGACCATCTAGCAACAGTCTTTCTTCAAAATGACACAAGTGATCCTGACTCAGATGAAGACGTCAGAAGTGTTTTGCCAGTCAGTTATGACTTGACTGACTTAAGGTCCTATCCTATATGCTCTAGATGGGCCCGAGGGCGTCCACAACAAGCCTCCATCGCATTTGATCTCGCTCCAGGTCTTGCCGATTTTCTTCGCCTCGTCTGCTACAGTTTGCTTGGGGCGATCACGTTTGCGTTTTCCTTGGTTCCAATCCAGAGCCTGCTTGGGACTGTGATCGGATCTTCTTCTTAGTCGGGCACTCTTGTCAGAGTGGTCGTGGTTGCGCTAAGTACATGGTGGGGTGATGTCATCTCCGAGGGTAGCTCTCCTGGCGGTGTGCTTCCATTTCTGACTGAGAGACGTCGCGAGTACACTGGATCATAGTAGACTCAGTGGCCTTTGTGATGGCGTCTATCCAGCGGGTTGGCGCTTTTGCCTTCCACCAGTCTCTCCATCGAGTTCTCAGTTACTTATAGTCAGCTTCGAAAGCCTGGTTCGAAAGTGGACGGTATAGAGGAGCAGCGGTGGTCGCGGCATCTGGCGGCGCGCCTCGAGGACGACGACGAGGAGCGGCCCGACCCCACCGCGCACCTGCGGTATACCGTCGGCCACGATGCAGAGGCCATTGCTGAACGGTGGGTACATTAGAGAGTAAATTTCCTTTACTCGTTATGACTTGACTGACTTAAGGCATAGAATAATAATAAGTACTACGCACAGAAGTTTTACTTCGCGAAGGTATTAAAAGAAATGTATACTCAATGTCATTAACAATATGGTGTAATTTAGCCTGTCTCAAGAGTCAAGCACCATTTTGTTGACAAACGTCAGTGATCGGCACTGCGCCGAAGCTAGGGCTGACATCGGTAAAATGATGTGACGTGAGGTGCCAAACTGCGGAAAATGGCGGAGGAAATACATGATTTAGCATTAATTATCATGAATAATATTAACTACTTATTTACCTCTCAGTGTCTTGAGGCAACTTAAAAAAGTACATTCTGTGTTTACACATTTAGGCAGTTAAATACTGCACAGTATTTCGTACACCATTTTCTTTATTTTCTTCCATCATACACAAGAATACGCGTGCGTCAGTCAATGTTCGCTCGTATGTGAGGCCTTGTCGAATAGTATCCTGTAGGTGGGCCATCGTGCGTGTTTTGTTTTCGATGTAAACTCTCGGAGATGAACAGGCCTGCTAAAGGTCCTATCCTATAAGCTCTAGATGGGCCCGAGGGCGTCCACAACAAGCCTCCATCGCGTTTGATCTCGCTCCAGGTCTTGCCGATTTTCTTCGCCTCGTCTGCTACGGTTTGCTGGTTTGACTATGTTATGAGTTATGACTTGACTGACTTAAGGTCCTATATCCCCTAGATAAGCGTCCACAACAGCCTCCGTTCGGTCTTGAGCTTCGCGTTTGATCTCGCTCCAGTAGCCTTATTCACGTAACAAAACTTCAACGACAACAAAACGCTGAGTTGCGATCCTATCGAGTAATCGTTCTATCGAAATGACCCAAGTGTGAATACGGATCTAGAATTGTTTTTCAATGGGACGACTTCTGAAAGTCAGCGAGATCTTGACTGTCAAAATAGAAAGAAAGAAAGAAAGAAAGAAACATTTATTGCTATGGACATCACAGAAGACAAAAGATGTAAATAATAGAAAAAAAAAGTAAATAAAACATAGGTGACATAAAATAAAACATACAATGAAAGTGAAAGTAAAACTGAGCAGTGCCACCCTGTCGCACAGCGATGTCCATCGCAATGGGACCCCACTCAGCATATGCCATGGCCCCCGGTGAGGGAGGCCACGACGCTGGTTTTCAGTGTGCCCCATGCCGAGTGGGAGTCACGGACACTAACCTATACTGCATAAAATATACATACATAAATAATAATAATAGTGCGCGTATAAATTTTAAGTGTAAGTACAGTATAATATTATTATAAAGAAAAGATGTAATAAGATATTATAAATAAAACGATAATATTTGAAAAACAAAACTGTGTGGGTGTACATAATAAATAAATTGTAATGTAATAAAGTGTTTGTGTATACAGTGATTGTGTGTGTCTCGACGACCACAAAACCGTCACGTGCGATCGAACCATTTTGCGTGGTTGTGTCTATTCATAGCGTCAGGTAGGTGAATCAGATTGGCCCATAATCCTGAGCGCGTTAGTCGCATCGCCTACCCCACTTATTCACGTAACAAAACTTCAACGACAAGAAAACACTTGAGTTGCGATCCTATCGAGTAATCGTTCTATCGAAATGACCCTTGGGAATACGGATTTAGAACTGTTTTTCAATGGGACGACTTCTGAACGTCAGCGAGATCTTGACTGTCAAAATACGTGAATTAAGCCACAGGTCTTGCCGATTTTCTTCGCTTCGTCTGCTACAGTGTGCTTGGGGCGACCGCGTGTGCGTTTTCCTTGGGGGTTCCAATCCAGAGCCTGCTTGGGGATGTGATCGGGATCCCTTCGGGGAGTGTGGCCGATCCAGTTCCACTTGCGGCGCTTGACTTACTCGTTATCTTCTTTTTAATCAGGCACTCTTGTCAGAGTGGTCGTGGTTGCGCTGACTAAGTACATGGTGGGGTGATGTCATCTCCGAGGGTAGCTCTCTTGGCGATGTGCTTTCATTTCTGACGGTTGGAGGCGTCGCGAGTACACTGGACCATGGTGGACTCAGTGTCCTTCGTGATAGAATCTATCCAGCGGGTTCGAGCGTGCTGTCTTGCCTTCCACCTGGTCCTGAACCACCAGTCTCTCCATCGAGTTCTCAGTTACTCGTTATAGTCAGCTTCAAAAGCCTGGTTCGTGAGCGGACGGTATAGAGGAGCATCGACCGCGTGCTCTTTTGCCTTCCACCAGTCTCTCCATCGAGTTCTCAGTTACTTATAGTCAGCTTCGATAGCCTGGTTCGAAAGTGGACGGTATAGAGGAGCAGCGGTGGTCGCGGCGTTTCGCGGCGCGCCTCGAGGACGACGACGAGGAGCGGCCCGACCCCACCGCGCACCTGCGGTATACCGTCGGCCACGATGCAGAGGCCATCGCCGAACGGTGAGTGCTTGTCAGAGGCGTAGCTACCGCCGTATCAATTATACGGAACCCCCGACGTGCATAAGCGAAGATTAATAAAAAAACTTCCTATATTTTTTTTATATAAAAATTAAAGCAATTTCTTTTTTTCCTGCGTAAAGCGTGCGTTCAAAAGTTGGCAACAGCCTACATTGCTTTTTTTTTTTGGGAAAAATCTTTTTCCTTCATGAGGGCACCCAAACAAATTTTTATACGGGGCCAAGGCACGCACTGGTGCTTGTGTAGTTTGTATTGCATTAATTAATGACTACAGGTCTTCTGACACTTCCTGTGTTTTTGTGACGTCAAACTTTTTCAGATGTGTTTCAGACTTGTATACTCTGTCTGTCACGTCATATGTCACCCCTCCCGTGTCGTTCCCATACCGCAGGCACTGACTCAGTTCTGCGCTACAAGTAGACGCTATCCTATCTTCAGCGACAGGGTTTTAACTACCGATCCTTTAAGGCTAGCGTCCACATGTCGGTATCGTACGCATCGGACGTATCGCACGCAACGGATCGTAGTATTATTTATATGGAAACTCATATAAGTGCGTCCACCTGTCCGCATCGCACATCTGATACGATGTGTTTCGTACGATGCGTCCATTGCGTACGATACCGACAAGTGGACGCTTAGCTTTAATCGGCAGTCCGATGCCGACATCGTTAGACTATTATCCGCCTTAAAGTGTAACCTTTGAAAAATGTTGCCATGAGTTTATGTTGCTTTTAATTTCAAATTTAACTGTCTTTATTTACGGTTGATTATCGCTTGTTTCCAGCCGCCGCCTAGTGCTGACGATCCGGCCGCTACTGGAAGCGTACTCGAGCACGTGCCGCGCGCTGTCGGGCACGGGCGGCTCGCAAAAGGAGCTCGTCAAACGCACGCTCGACCAGCTGGCCAACGACTTCACGCAGAACCGCATGCCCTACGGTCAGTACACTTTTTTTTTTTTAATTTGTGGCAACCAAACCTCTCTGGGAGGTTTATTTCTGCCAATGTCGAGTGAAAAGTATTGACATAGTTATCAATAGAACGTGGGTGTTTCAGTTCTATTGATTTTTCATGGATTCCGTGGAGTTAAGTATGCCCGTAAGCAGGTTTCGAGACGCCACCGGGTCCAAATCGGGTTGTTCATACGACAACCCACTCGACACTCGATGCGCGCTCAAATTCGAAGTATTTCAATGTTTTTTATAATTTATCACTTCACTGCACTTTAGAACACAAAATAACACCAAATTTGTACACTAAAGTCCATTAAATAATAAATTGAAACCATTAAAACAGATCGACCATGCTTCCCGTTCAACTACCCTCCACATAGGTGACATAAAATAAAACATACAATGAAAGTGAAAGTAAAACTGAGCAGTGCCACCCTGTCGCACAGCGATGTCCATCGCAATGGGACCCCACTCAGCATATGCCATGGCCCCCGGTGAGGGAGGCCACGACGCTGGTTTTCAGTGTGCCCCATGCCGAGTGGGAGTCACGGACACTAACCTATACTGCATAAAATATACATACATAAATAATAATAATAGTGCGCGTATAAATTTTAAGTGTAAGTACAGTATAATATTATTATAAAGAAAAGATGTAATAAGATATTATAAATAAAACGATAATATTTGAAAAACAAAACTGTGTGGGTGTACATAATAAATAAATTGTAATGTAATAAAGTGTTTGTGTATACAGTGATTGTGTGTGTCTCGACGACCACAAAACCGTCACGTGCGATCGAACCATTTTGCGTGGTTGTGTCTATTCATAGCGTCAGGTAGGTGAATCAGATTGGCCCATAATCCTGAGCGCGTTAGTCGCATCGCCTACCCACAATACAGAAAAAAAAAAACAAACAAAATAAAGTACATCATTAGTGTCAGATCAAGTAAATTAAATAAAATTCATTTACGCATATTTAAAAATAATTATGCCAGATAGATGTTATTACGTTATTGTTATTACGATGTCAATTAATTATAAAAAATACGTGAATTAGGCCACAGGTCTTGCCGATTTTCTTCGCCTCGTCTGCTACAGTTTGCTTGGGGAGACTGCGTTTGCGTTTTCCCTGGGGGTTCCAATCCAGAGCCTGCTTGGGGATGTGATCGGGATCCCTTCGGAGAGTGTGGCCGATCCAGTTCCACTTGCGGCGCTTGACTTACTCGTTATCTTCTTCTTAGTCGGGCACTCTTGTCAGAGTGGTCGTGGTTGCGCTGACTAAGTACATGGTGGGGTGATGTCATCTCCGAGGGTAGCTCTCCTGGCGATGTGCTTCCATTTCTGACGATCGCGAGTACACTGAACCATAGTGGAACATTGCCGTATGCCGTTAGGCGATAGCTATAAGAGATTAACGCGGGAAATTAATGCGATGAAGCAGCCACACCACACTACGTCAGTGTCGCGATAATAGGCATTGACGTTAGCCGTTAGTGTGGCCCCAGCATAAAGGTTTCGGGTTTTTTAAATTTGTGAATTTAAGGGCTGATTTTTCGATCGTCGGATCACTCAGACTGAAGAATAAAATTGACATTTTGACATATTTCCCATACTGAAACTGTCAATGTGCCAAACTTATTCTTCAGTTAAAAGTTATCCAGCGATTGAAAAATCAAACCTAAAAGACTTTTTTATTTTGTTTCCAGCCGCCGTCTAGTGCTAACGATCCGGCCGCTACTAGAAGCGTACTCGAGCACGTGCCGCGCGCTGTCGGGCGCGGGCGGCTCGCAAAAGGAGCTCGTCAAACGCACGCTCGACCAGCTGGCCGACGACTTCACGCAGAACCGCATGCCCTACGGTCAGTACACTTGTGCAGTACCTACACGCACTATGTCTTATGCATGAGTTTTTTTTTTTTTTTTAAAATTGACATAGTTATCAATAGAACGTGGGTGTTTCAGTTCTATTGATTTTTCATGGATTCCGTGGAGTTAAGTATGCCCGTAAGCAGGTTTCGAGACGCCACCGGGTCCAAATCGGGTTGTTCATACGACAACCCACTCGACACTCGATGCGCGCTCAAATTCGAAGTATTTCAATGTTTTTTATAATTTATCACTTCACTGCACTTTAGAACACAAAATAACACCAAATTTGTACACTAAAGTCCATTAAATAATAAATTGAAACCATTAAAACAGATCGACCATGCTTCCCGTTCAACTACCCTCCACGGAATCCGTCAGTACACTTGTGCAGTACCTACACGCACTATGTCTTATGCATGGAGTTAATATTCCTTCAGAATAGAGCAACAACCACGAGCTGTCAAACGAAACCGATTTTGGATGACACTGGATGTCATTTGTGTGTCAGTGTCAGGATTTTTTCAGTGTTTTGTACAATAAATCATAACTGAACCAGTCATCACGATTTCACTCACGTAAAATCTGAAAATATCTCAGAGTTCAAGTTTTCAGCGTGCCAAATAACAACTGTCAAATCTCTCACGCATCTCTTTTTAACACGCTTTTATTAGGTCGTCGTGTATGTAACTAATACGTCGTGTAATGGAATCTAAGAATCTGAATTACACGCACTTCTAATTCTTGTATCATCATGAAAATTGGCAATTATATGTAGATTACATTCATGACAATACAATATAATGGTACCATCGAGCTGGTCTTATGATGGGATTGGAAGATGGCCATAGGAACTCCTAAACGAAATGGCGGAATCGCATCGAGTTTGGGTTGATTGAATTTGTCTTTTAGAGCACTTTAGTGCTAGGTAATATCCACGATCCTGCCTTTTAGTGCAGTAATTAAAAGCGTGTTTTTAGTTTTTTCATTTTCATTTAAACTAGTATTTATTATCACACAGTGTTGCTGCTAGTGACATCTCGCTCGATCAGTTCTTTGTTGCTCTATTCCGCTAGGTATATTAACTTAATGGTATGATATCGACTCGACAGAAGGAGGGTTTATAGATTAATCATAAATGTTATGATAAAATATTTAATTTCCAGGCGAGGCGGTGTCTACGGACGCGATTCGCAACTGCCACCGGCTGTTACGCCAGTGGGGCGTGCTAGAGATGTACGAGGAGAATAAAACTCGTTGCATCCGCCTCGCGCCGCCCTACACAGACCCCGACGCATTGCAACGCGTCGTCCACAACATACACAAGTTCAACGTCGACGCCGCCATCTTGCGCGACAAGTGAAGTGACCAGTGAAGTGCTGACTAGTAACGTGACGTAGTGCGGTGCTAACAGTTTAACGTGGCAGCCGGCGCGACTAGTGAAGTGCTAAATCAAATCACCTACTGCGACTAGTGAAAGGCCACCAAATTATAATTTCTTGGCGGTATCCAGCCATCCTGCTAGTGAAGTGAGTGTGCGACTAGTGACTGTGATCCAGTGATCGGACGAGCGGGTCTCGACGCCGAAATAACTGAGTGCGCGTTTTACATATCAGGTTTCTTTTTAGTCCAAAACGGTTCAGGTCTCGTACCCACAATTGATTAGTTGGACTCTAAACGAACTTTCCAAAGGAAATTTTACAGATTGTTCGTACATTTGAACAGCTGAGGGGTATTGTTGATACAATGCTGTATTATCATGATAAGTTTCCCTAAACTTATGCACCTTGATGAAAATTTAGCTATGTATTGGAATGTAATTATAGTTGTTTATCTGCTATGTGATGTATTTTTCCGTTAAAATATTTTTTACAGTTATTATTGAGTACAATGACAATGGTTCACGAAATATTGTATGATGAGGAGAAATTTAATAGTGTTTTGTGTGAGATTCACAAAGCTCCTATATTTTTCCAACAAATAGTGAATGAAAGCGTTGTTAATACCATGTAAATTACTCGAGGTGTTGCTCGAGGTGTTGTGTTAAGAGGTGGACAACTGTTGGGCTTGTTATATTTTAAGTTAGTCTATTAATTTAAAATGTATCATTACAGATTGGCCAATATAATTTCGTGTGTCTTGCCATCTGTATTGACTGATTAATATTGTTTGTTTTCCTGACTGTATGTATGCCTTTTAAATCAGACATAGTCTGTATTTTATAAAAATGCTCACTGGTGCTATACATACTAAGATAGTATTATATGCAGATATATTTTAAAGAATCGCATAAAAACAAAAGGATTTTTATTACATATTTGGTAATTTTAGTAGATCCTCTGTATTTGAGTTATTTTATATATTACCCAAATATATTTACTTACTTTTTTTTAAATTTCAAATCCATGACATTCTGCATAATATCATTAACTCATGCTAACGCATTTACTCTGGTAAAATGAGTACAGTCAGAAAAATATATCCATGCAAATAAATTACAATTATTCATAAGCGAAATCATACCACAATGACAACGATGGGAATGTCTAAATATCATATAGTAACTGCTTAGTTCAAAGAGAACGAAATCCCATGTAATTTTGACAAAATATTTTGAGTAAATTTTTATTTAAAATAATTTTAAGTATTGATTGAAAGCTTCATGTAACTTTTTGTAGCAGTCGCATTAGAAATTGTAATGGGATTTTGGGATTATAATATAGATTAAAATTGCTCAAAGATTGGAGCCAAATATGTATATTATTAGTATTTATTTACCTTATTGATCTGTGATGCTGTTGGTGTAATATTTTTTTAACGTAACGTGTAGCAAACTTACCGTGCGTATTTTGTATGTCTAAGTGATCTCATGATTGCAGTGAATGTATCTAAAAATACGTAGCATTTTCGTAACTAGATAGTGGAGTGAACCCCAGTGGTGATATCTAATTTTAACTTGAGGAAGAAAAATGGAGAAGATTCATTTTATTTAGCAGCTAATGCATTTATTTTCATATGCAGCTATAAAAAAACTATTTTTTCTATGGGAAATGTTTTATTTCGTAGATATGTACAGCCTTTGGGTCTCCACTGTGAGAAGTTCACATATAAGAGGGAATTACGTTTGTAAATGATGTTACTCCTATTATTCGGATCAGCTCCCTGTTCTTAAACGTGAAAACAGTATGTATAGTGAAATATGTGTAGTAATACTACTGGCACACAAAAAGTTTACTGTTCTAAGATATAGTTATCNTACCTAGTTATCATATTAAATTTTTCTACTTTAAAATACTCCGATAGGATCATATTTATAACAATATTTATATCTTTGTTTTTGTATTCCAACAAGAACGAAGACTTAAGTTGAATAAACACATAAAAGTATTAAGTATTTTAATCTGCTAAACCTAAACCCTGAACTCTCCGTGTGAAAATGAAACACGATTGCGATTAACAGTAAATTATAATTTCAATCCAAAATCAACTAACAGTGAATAATATACTTATTATAAAAATCAAGTTTAGTAATTAAATAATTAATACACAATTATAACTAAAAATTCAAATCAAGAATGGGTAAGTATTGAAATAATTTCACCCCATTTAATATAGTAAAAACAATAAATTGTTCTTTTATAATTTGATGTTAAATTACAAATATGATTTTAATTTGATGCCACATATTATAAACAAGCAAAGTTATATTTCAGTTTTACGAATTTCCTTGATTATTAGAACCAATAAGTACTTCTCCCAAACATTCTAGCCAGAAATCTTTCGATTTTGAAGCGCTCTATGGCTGGCCGGTGCCGTGCGAGTGTAGTCTTCGCGCTCTCTTTCCGCACCTGATGCTCTGAACTTCTGAAGTGGTTTTCAAGCGGCTTCACACCTGCCTCTATTATGTTGCAAAAGCCGCAGTGAAATAGACCAGGGCGAACCTGAAAGAAAAAACATACTATAAACTCGAATTGCTAAATTCAAGTGGCAGTGGGCGGGGCACATAGCTCGTAGAGACGATGGCCGTTGGGGCAGGAAAGTTCTCGAGTGGCAACCACGGGCTGGAAGACGTAGCGTGGGCAGGCCTCCTACTAGGTGGACCGACGATCTGGTAAAGGTCGCGGGAAGAGCCTGGATGCGGGCAGCGCAGGACCGTTCATTATGGAAAATCTTGGGGGAGGCCTTTGTCCAGCAGTGGACGTCATTTGGCTGAAACGAAACTCGAATTGACCCCTTGTCAATCATCACAAGATGACGGTCGCCTGTTATGTATTATGTATTTTATTGTAGGACATTGGCAATATGATTAAATACTTACTTCTCTGACGAACTCGGAAGCAGTCGTCCAAAATACGGGAACCTTCTTGAATCTCCTTTGGTGGGTGACTGAATTTATATGCGCGGTATTTTCCCAGGGGGCGATCGTTATCTCGCACAGTTGACATCTTACTCGGCCTCCGTTTTCAGTAATCAGATGAAAACTGGACGGTGTAATGCAAAACTTGTCATTTACTATTTTGACATGGCCGAAAAATAAACTTTCGATGGTCAAAAGTTCATCTATGTAGTCTTCCGTGGGCATCTTACGGAAATCTTGTTCGCGGGTAGATGAGGACGACCGGGACCGACTGTGGGACCGACTGGAAGCCATTCTGCTCCGATGCCCATTTCCTTCCACGTGTTCTTTCATAGCCTTAAAGGATGAAGGCACATTGGTTCCGCACAGCTTGCAAAAAGCACTATGCTTTCCTGAATGTAGTGTAAATTGGTTTTGTTTCGCAAATGCTTCTAGATCATCATCTTTTTGCTCATTATTATTTGTATGTTGATCATTTACTATCCCAGAAATATCGGATTCAGTTGTGTTTTCATTTCGGTGCTTATTTATGCGAGGAACGATTTTGTTTTTAACATTTTCGTTGCTGCAGTTGCCGACTGAAGAGGCCACTGGTATCGTTTTTGCAGTCGCCGTTGGTCTGTGAATTCTCATGTCCGCTTCGCAAGGAAAATGAACATAGGCAACATTCCGCTTCTTTGGATATCTTTTGTGTTCTTCGATATTACTTTCAATAGAATTATACTCAAAATCAATGTTTCCCAGACATTTCTTGCATAAAGCAGTCTCGTTTTCAAAGTTAATGTTTACCTCGTTCTTTTCAAACGAAGTGACTGATTCTAATATTTTCGATGCATTGTTTTCTGAAGTGGCTGTAACTGTATCATCTAAGGCTGTAAGGGTATCTAAAGCCCAAACAGGTGATGGGTCATATTCATCGATAGACCCTTCAGCGGAATTGAATGCCTCACTGCTGCTGCTTTTACCGCAATCGTTTGGTGTGTCTAAAGCTTGAGTATCGTTACTTTCAAACGTCTCAATAACTAATTTGGATTTGCAATTTTGTAGTATATCAATGTGTTTTGAATCTTCGAAGTGTGTAACGATGTCACTCAGCATTAACACTGTGTTACATGTTATACATTGGAATGTTGTGTCATCGATCTAAAAGAAAATGATGTGTTATAGTTAAAAATATCTCGGTGTGTAGGTATAAAGCCAGATCAAATAAATCTTATCTATATCTAATTCCACTTAGATTTAGCCTAGGCGCAGACCACCGATTTTTATTTGACCGATACTTAGTTGAGTCGGACTGTTAATCAGTATGGAGAATATGGAGATGTATGAAGGTTTGTAATGTGCGCACACCGTATTGGTATCGGTCGACACAAAATGGGTGGTCTGCGCCTAGGGTTACACCTACAAACCCAATACTCGTAGGAGAGGCAAGTAGTTGTTAAGTAGATACTTTACCTTACGATATATTTGTCCGCTGTAAAATTCTACGTTATTCTTCACCAAATTCAGAGCATGTGAAGGCTCTGCAAGGTGCTCGGATTCGTTAACAAATTCCGCGTTGCAGACAGCACACATATCCTCCACGAGGCCCTGCCATGCTGTCTCGTCGATCAACACTTCGCCAAAATGAATCAAATGTCCAGTACGTCTCAACAGGCGTGATTTGTGCTGTTTCTCGGCAACATGTAAAGCTACTTTGACCAGCGATGTGAATATAACGTTGCATAGCATACAGAAGTAACCTTTTTTGACCTAAAACAAACTTAAGATGTGAAGAATCGCGAATAGTATAATGCCCGTTTTCACCATCAATCCTGAATTTTTAAGTGACCGCTTATGGGAATAATAGGAATTTTGTTTTAAAAAATTAGGGAGTGACGGTGAAAACGGGCATAAGTAAGTTACTTACCTAATTAAGACATGTTTAGAAGCGCAGCAACGAAGGAGTGCCTTTTGCGCTTCAAATATGTTCAGTGATGTTTTCACAGAATGTTTAATTTGTCTCCTATAGGACTCAGGTAAGTACTTACATGGTGGATTCTGTTTGAGTAAGAACACATAAGTATGATGAGCCCTAAAAGTGGCGCATATCGCATGTAAGATGTTGCTGCAACAGTGGTGTTTTTTGCAGTGATACTAATGGTCTAACTAAATCGAACCCCCCATCTTTGTATTTGAATGAGAAACCACGATAGTGATTTTGAATGAAAATAATACCTACAATTAACAATATCATCATGAAAAGGAATATCAATTACTAGGGCCGGTAAAAATTTTACTCGTTCATTTCAGTCAAATGACGTCCACTGCTGGACGAAGGCCTCCCACTCCCACAAGGATTCTCACAACGACCGCCCGGTCCAGCGCTGCCCGGATTGATGGTGAAAACGGGCATAAGTTTGGGGTATTTTTTTCTTGAGATTTGACAGCGCAACAGTCGTGCGCGTGCCACTGTAGTAGGTAGGTACACCACTACTGTACATTGTTTTAACCACGTATTTAAAAGTCCATCAACAGTCGTGCCACTGTAGTATGAGTAGGTAGGTACACCACTACATTGTTTTATTCTACCTATAAAGTCCAAGCCAAGCATATTCGGGGGATTTACTGTAATTTGCCCACGGCGATTAATCAACAAGGGAAGTACCTACTTAATTTCTAATTGATATAAGCTACAAAGTAGGTATTTATTTTTATAAAGTATGCTCTATCATAAAAACCGCGCGCGCGCGGATGTGTTCACCACTGTTTAGCGGTCCTTTCTAACTCTGCATTTTAAAAGCATCCCTGAAACGCACCAGTTAAATTAAAGACTACATACCTACTTTTAGTTGGCCAATAGTTGAATCGGTTTCCAATTTGTATGAGGAATCGGCCAACCTACCAAATCGGTGTACCTACCTAACAAAAAACAAAAACAATATCAACCCTTTTTTTTCGTCAAGAAATGCATGCAATTGCATACTCACTGGCCCGGGGGAACCAGTTGGTTATGTGAGGCTCTCCCTGCCAGATGGGCAGGGCCTACTCACTAAAACCTGACGGTGTCCTCCTAAAGTCTTTGGGACGGAGCTGCGAGTTATTGTCCGAGCTAGATGGCCTAGACATTCTTTCGCGATTCCGCCCCAGACTGTGGCTCGCAAACAATACCAACCCTTGTAGCAACCCTAAGCTTACCTTCAGTATATGGTCTTCTTTAAGTTCCTCAACCAGTTGTGCAGAGTTCATGTTATTTTTATGCGCATGCAAGCCGATGTGCTCCTCGATCTCATTCTCCCCGGTGAGGACATTGCTCTCGCACACCAAGCAGAAGGCATCGATGTACCCGAAGATAATGCCGTTTTTGTTGAATTTCGATGACATTATCTGAAAACAAAATTTGTATTATCATATTTTTTCCCGTTTTCGCAACATGCTCTGTACTTCTAGCATGAACAACTTTCGTCTTCCAATCGTTTGCGTATTCAACAAAATTCGACACTCAACCTTCGAATTAAACGATAATGTGACAATTTTGATTCTGAAAATAAGTTTCGTGCAACCATTTCTCATACTAAGTTCACTTTACGACACGTTCACAAGGGCGCTGTTGTAGTTTTCGTACTAAATCTTTTAATGGCGATTCGAATACGCAAACGATTCGAACTCGAAAGTTTTTCGTGCTAGTCATACTACTCCTATTGGTCGTGGCGTGATGGTATTGCCCTAAAGACTCCCAAACTTTATTTTTGACATAGTAAATTCAGATAAGTAATGATTTGTCACACAATTTAATCTCTGTTTGCATTTTTCCAACATTTCTTAATTGTCCTAAACATAAATAAATACCTAATTGGCTAAATGCTTAAATAGATAAAATATTTATATCTATAAATAGGTAAGTTTTTATTTATTTAAAACGGGCGTTTGCCCGCGCCTTCACCCGCGTGAAATTTCATTTGTCACAGATCGTCATAAATTATAGCCTATACAGGGTGTTAAAGGTAAATGGGTACCTATATGAGCCGACACTAGCCCATGTTAACATGGGCATATAAATGGTATGGTGAAGTCAGAAATTGGATATCATCTTTTTTTTTTTAATTTTCATACAAAACAAATTTTATGAAATCCAATAGTGAGAATGATAGTGTCGGCTCATATACCCATTTACCTAACACCCTGTATATGTTAATCTGGGTTATCTATATGTTACGGTCAAAGTGATAAATGTGAAAATTATGAATAATCGCCGGTTATTATGAATAATTACCGCATGATTTGGTAAATGTGATTAATATGAGGTCATTTATGTGTGTACTTATAAAACTAAATAGGCGGCTTAGGGGCCGCCGCACCTTAACCTATTTTTCACTTTAAATCAAAACATTATGTTATAGGCATCATGGAAAAGTAATATTATGCAAGAAACATTCCAAACTCATTATGCCAAATTATATTAATATATGATATCAAAACATTCAAAAGTTTGGCTGTACCTACACGACCACGTACACAAGATGTTGTTCTCTTTTATGAAATTTGTTAGTACTAAGCTTGAATTATTCAATAATCACTGTTAAATGTGATTAATTTATCACTTTTACCGCGACTGTCGGGAATTATTCATAATAACCGGTTATTATTAATAATTTTCAATTTATCACATTAACCGTAACATATAGGGTAAGTGCGCTAGTTTTCGTCCAATTATCGGAGTTGCCAACTTTGTGATGCGAAATGAATATCTTAAAATACCCTTACTCATATGTATCATATGTCATTTTAGACCTTATATAGTCTACTTTACGTTAATATTATATGACAATAAGTAAATACCACGGCTTTTTTTATAAAAAATATTTTATGCAAAAGAGGCGATTTCACTAGTTTTCGTCCAAAAAAATCAGTTTTCGTCCTAGTGTACGCTAGTTTTCGACCACTGTGTAGAAAAAAGGGTGCAGTTGAATTATTAACTTAAAACCAATTCTACAATACAGTAGTTATGGATTGTGGTATATCATTTGAAAGGTAATTTTGTTAGCTTTCAAATGATATCAAAAAGATTTAAATAAGTTTGTTACCTAAATTTAGGAAAATATTTCAATAGGTCGAAGGACAAACGGACGAAAACTAATCTACAAGAATAGGTAATTTTGGTTTTCGTCCACCCCAGTGCTTGCTCATGACGTCATGGACGAAAACACAACAACGTTTAAAGCTGTTTTTTGTTTTCGTCCACATCTTTTTAACGGTTTTTATGGGTTTATCACTGTTAAAAAGTGGACGTAAACTAAAATGTTTAATGTAATAGCAATAAAGATCATATTGGATGAAAAAACATTGTATTTTGTAGGTCCATTGAAGTAAAATGATTATTAAAAATATTAACTAGGTGTCAGGGTTTCCGTCCACGTGGACGAAAACGAAAATCTTGCAAAATTGTTATGCTAGTATTAGTCTACTTAATTATCTAAGATTTCTATACAAAAACTTTAATAAACCCTTAAAATAGTGTTTATTATGCTAATAATTAGACATACGTGCCAAAAACATTACGTAAAGTAGCTAAAACAGTAATTAAACATACCATGAAAGTTCCCTACCGGCACGTTTTTTTTCCCCGGTGAGGACATTGCTCTCGCACACCAAGCAGAAGGCATCGACGTACCCGAAGATAATGCCGTTTTTGTTGAATTTCGATGACATTATCTGAAAACAAAATGTGTATTATCATATTTTTTCCCGTTTTCGCAACATGCTCTGTACCTCTAGCATGAACAACTTTCGTCTTCCAATCGTTTGCGTATTCGACAAAATTCGACACTCAACCTTCGAATTAAACGATAATGTGACAATTTTGATTCTGAAAATAAGTTTCGTGCAACCATTTCTCATACTAAGTTCACTTTACGACACGTTCACAAGGGCGCTGTTGTAGTTTTCGTACTAAATCTTTTAATGGCGATTCGAATACGCAAACGATTCGAACTCGAAAGTTTTTCGTGCTAGTCATACTACTCCTATTGGTCGTGGCGTGATGGTATTGCCCTAAAGACTCCCAAACTTTATTTTTGACATAGTAAATTCAGATAAGTAATGATTTGTCACACAATTTAATCTCTGTTTGCATTTTTCCAACATTTCTTAATTGTCCTAAACATAAATAAATACCTAATTGGCTAAATGCTTAAATAGATAAAATATTTATATCTATAAATAGGTAAGTTTTTATTTATTTAAAACGGGCGTTTGCCCGCGCCTTCACCCGCGTGAAATTTCATTTGTCACAGATCGTCATAAATTATAGCCTATACAGGGTGTTAAAGGTAAATGGGTACCTATGTATATGAGCGACACTAGCCCATGTTAACATGGGCATATAAATGGTATGGTGAAGTCAGAAATTGGATATCATCTTTTTTTTTTAATTTTCATACAAAACAAATTTTATGAAATCCGATAATGAGAATGATAGTGTCGGCTCATATACCCATTTACCTAACACCCTGTATATGTTAATCTGGGTTATCTATACATATAATAAATCTGTGGAGAGGTCAATTCTGTACATGAAATATATTTTCAAAATAACTATCAGGGGGTGATTAGTGATCGTTTCTGATGGCAAAAATACAATCAGTAAAATTTTTGTCTGTCTGTCTGTCCGTCTGTATGTTCCTTATAGAAACAAAAACTACTCGACGGATTTTAACGAAACTTGGTACAATTATTCTTCATACTCCTGGGCAGGTTATAGTATACTTAGGAATTCCCACGAGAAAAGGAATTAGCGGGAAAATCTTTTTGTATGAAAAATCTAAACCGCTTAAGTTAATGCCCTTCAATCGTCATGAAGATCAGTTTTTGATACTGCAAGTCCTTTACACGGTATACCTAACCGTAAAACCGCAAAGATGCCCCTTTCGGGGGGCCCCACCACTAATGAGCAACGATAAAACCTTTTGTAGGAATAATATTCCTACAAAAGGTTTTAATATAATAATTTAATATAATAATTATGTACCTACTATGTAGGCAATACTTCCCTTATATTAATAAATACTTAAATGTATAATGTTTACTCATTTTATACAATTATTAAGTTAGATAGGTACTTATGAAACTGAAAGATATTCGTGTAGCGGTACGTACCTACCTACCTACTTACGAAATAAGTTGACGCTAGTCAGTTTCTACAACTAGTATTAGTACTTTACAAAACAGCACTTACCGATCTTCCTTATTTTTGAATGCGATAGATATTGTTTAGGAAAGTTAAAAACACTGTGTACACTTACACTAAACTCGCAAGTAGCAGTGTGTTTTAGGAACAAGACAATTAAATAAATACGTTCAACAACGGCTATGCTTTGGCTAATAATGCACAGCAGTATCAGCGAAATGTTTGAATTTATTGGTACCAGCAAGGGAAACGGAAAGAGCAGGAATCCCCGCACAGTGTGTTTAACGAGCAAAGACAAAATAAGCAGAATAATAGTAGTAGGTTTATTACAAGTTGAAGATGTCAGTAAAAATGGTTGACTTTCCATTTTATCAACAAAGCTAAAATGTTATTATAAATATGACAGCTGAATGTATTCCCCTTAATTGAATCTTTTGAAAGAGGTCTAAGCACCTTTCTTATTACTTCTCATTATTATTATCATCATTCAAGGGCTTAAGGAATCTTAGATGATGTGCTCGATTAATTAATTACGCCTAATTTGTCAGGCCCAACCTTAAGTTCAAATAAGTTGTGTGGCCTATATTGAATAATTGATACAAATTGCATACACACTAAACTTCTATGTAAGATTTTCATGTAATTACTTTGTATGTAATGTTGTTGGTATACCGTAATAAATAAAATAAATAAATAAATACATAATCTAAGAGCGTCGATTTCAATGATATTGATATTGAAAGATATGTCAAAATCCACCAATCATGCAGCATTTGGACCTCCCGTCTACGTATTGCCATCTGGCGGATTTTTCAATCGCGAAAACCCTCATTGTGATTTCAATTTAGAGAAAGACCTCTGACTTTATTTTTATTGTGGTTCATTGATAAACCATAGACAATTTTTGAAAGTTCATGTAAGAAACGGCAAGGGCATAATATAAAAACAGCCAAGTCACATGAATGAACAAGTTTATTTTGAAGGTATGTCCGATCCATAGATTTACAAGTCAATGGTATTGACAGATACTTAAAAAAAACTGCGGGGTTACTCCCAAAAACGTTAACTGATCTTTCGATGCTGCCATCCCACTCACGCGAAGCGAGAAACTACATGAGCAATGGTGACAGAAAGAGCCGAAACTACAAAAGCGTCGTAGTATAGTAGCCCCTCTTACTGTTCGCTCCGCTCATTCGCTGACACTGACACATTTGACAATGGTTTGCTTGGATTGTCGGACGGATGAACGATGTGCTGTGCCTTTATTTTATTGAAACAGTTTTATTTTCACTAAAAATTTATGTTTAGTGCTAATAAATTAAACTTGACAGTGCGAGTGTAATAATGTCACAAAGTTATGGTGTGAAAATGTGTGATATTTCTATGGTGCGATGTATTTATGTTGTGTGCCTGTTATTTTTATTTGCACTAACAAAGGACGGCGTCGCAGCGAAGAGTAAGTCTCAGTTTATGTTTTTAACTATAAAATTGTTTAATATTAATGTCGTGAGTAAAATGGGTTTTTAAAAACAGGTTCCGATTGTCTTACTTAATGGTTCGCAACTAGACATATTTTTGAGATAGTAAGTATCGCCAAGCTCTCAAAAAATTATACATGCGCTATGTTATAAAAAGTTTTCAAGTCATCCAAAATTAGGTCTCGGGCGCTAAGTGCGTGCGCAAGCAGTGTATATGACATAATAATTTTAATTTAAAGTATCTAATTAACTTTATAACATGTTAATAAAAACTTTAAACCTACTTGGAACTTTTCTTCTTCCATAAGTTTTCGTTTTATGAAGAATTCTTAATAATCTACATCAATATTCTAAAACATTATTATCATAACTGTTAGTACAGAGTACAGTCAGTAAAATTATTTTAGCTTGTAGATAGAATTAGTTAAAAATGTCAACATGATGAAAAAAAAAACGCAAATGGATTATTTTATTTGACAGAACATAAATTACTAAATAATATTAATAACTATTTAACTAAATAAACTAAACCTCTTTTATTGAAATATAAACTTAGAAAAAACAGTATTCTAAATATTTTTATTTGCTTCTTGTTTACTAGACAATTTAAAAAAACTTTTGAAACTATAGGGATAATAATTATTTTTTAACAGACTATATCTCTGTGACTTCAAGAACTCAATAGGGAAAAAAACTGAAAACTGGATTGAATAATGCGTAACGACAAAAGCTCCAATCAAGCTTTTGAAGTTTATGTATAATACATTCTATTTCAAAATTTAGGTGTTCATTTTGACCGTTTTTTCTGTAATATCAAGCAAATGCTGTTACCGGAAGCCTTATTGAGGACCCCACTGTCATGATTAATAAATAAATAGGTAATAATAATAAATCATTTATTTTCAATAGATTAAAAAACAACTTAAGATTACTACTAGGTACTTCCCAAAGTATTACCCACTTCTCCTGGGAACTGTAGTTGATTGTTTACATTGTGTTTTACCAGTAAAATACAATGTAATGTCAGTAGTAAACTATCATTTACGGTTTACTTTACTACTGACTATGGTTGTGACACATACTGGCTTTTCTGAAACTATTTCAGACATTATTTTTATACCGCTTACTTCAGAAATTGTAATTAAATAACGCTCATAAAGTCTAATAAAACTGTTTACCACCGCCCTGGAAGATGTCTTCAAGCTTCTGGACTGGAACAGATTTGGCATAAATATCAACGGCGAGTACATCACCCACCTTCGATTCGCGGACGATATCGTAGTCATGGCTGAGACCTTGGAGGATCTAGGCACAATGCTCGATGGCCTCAGTAGAGCCTCTCAACAAGTGGGCCTCAGAATGAACATGGACAAGACAAAAATCATGTCTAATGTCCGTGTTGCACCCACTCCTCTGAAGGTTGGAGACTATCATTCTATCCGAATTTTTATTCCTTTCTAGCAAGAAAAAATAACTTTAATTATTATACAGGGATTATTATTAGATTTACAGCTCAGTTTTAGTAACCAGTTCAGCATTTATGGTTTTTTAAATTATGTAGTACGATTTTTTAAATATGTTGATTAAAAATGTTACCATTAACTCAAAAATAAAAAGTTATGTTTACACTATGATTTAAAGAGTGTATGAGGGTTAACTCAAAAGTAACCAGTTGTAATCGATACAAGTCTATGCATTATTACCCATTGTAAACATTTGCATTAAATGTTTATATGCAACCCACCATAAAAGTCTACAACAAGTAGGTATGACTCCAGAACGCACGAACCGATTTCCACGGTTTTGCATTCGTTGGAAAGGTCTCGGGCTCCGTGAGGTTTATAGCAAAGAAAATTCGGGAAAAGCGGGTAAAACGGGATCCACGCGTACGAAGTCGCGGGCGGCCGCTAGTTACAGGATAAAAGTACCTACAACAAGTATTACAGGATACAATTATTCATTATATTAGATACCTAATAGTTAATTATATTTTTAATATGAAATAATGAGTGCTAACGACACATTAGTAAAAGCGCAGTATCAGCGGACGGACGTCCGCCGCACGCGACCCTATCCGCTGTTGCGTAGCGCCACCGGACACTGTGACAAAATATCACATGATTTTTACTAAAATACTTTTTTATGTCATCTAATTCTAGATAATAGACACTAGCACCTGGTAATAAAGCGCAAACTTGCTCGAGGCTACAAGTTTTTGAAATTAGCAACGATATTATGTCGTTGGTTACAAGTCCTAGCTAGACTTACGCCCGCAGGGTTACAACAAACAAATAAAGATACAGTACATTCAGTCAGCGTTAAATAGTGACACCCAAAGTAGCCAAAAAGTTCGCAACACGTCTTTGTACGGTTGAAATAAAGTTGTTTTGTCGACTTTTTGGTCACTTTGGGTGTCACCCACGAACTATTTGACGCTGACTGTACAAACAAAACATTATTTACCAGCACATAAAGATTATACCGCGATTTTCCCGTAAAAGGCGCAAGTCGTACAGATTTGGATTAATGTAAGCCATCAAGAGTGGTAAAAGCGTGTAGCTCGAGAAACATGTTTTGGGGCAGGCCTTTTAATTTTGTATTGTATTAAATATCCAATGGCGAAATAAACCGAATAGAATCGGACTCGTTCCCGTTACGAATCGTTTGTTTTACTGTTCATTAAACAGTTAAATTTTATTACCTTCGATAGCAGTTAAACTGATTATCTCCGAGGTTGACGACCTCTGCGAACCCTTATAAAGTTAGCCTAATAAATAACGCACACACGCCTCTGAGGATGTACTCGTATACTTTGCATACCCGTTAATTACAAGGGGAAGTTCGTATCTTCATCTGACGCATCGCCATAAAAAAGGGAAGCTTGCCCCAACAAAGAATTCGCGCCTAACACGGTAATACATCCGCATAATTATTATACCCAACTACTCATGTAACAGCGTCCTTAATTATTCAACACATGCTTGCAGTTCAGTGTACGCCGGAAGTGCATTTTTAAATACGACAGTCAAACGTTTGATTCACGTTTATATTTTTATAAACTGCGAATAAATTCGTAACTTCAGTTTACCATGAGTAAAAGACCAGACCAGTCAGCTGGTTACCTGATGAAAAGTAAGCAATGCGTAACTCTGAGGCTGAGTTACACCAACTTACTTCAACCGTAACTTTAACAATAACCGGTGCTTTTGGTGGGTATGGAGTTTGACAGATTTTTGACGTTTGTTAAAGTCAAAGTAAGATGGTGCAACTCAGCCGTAAGTGATGACTGCTAGACTACCAAGTTTAATCAGTTTCATCAAACGTTTGGTACCTCTGTCTTATAGGTCTAGCTTCCGCTTAACTCAGTGCCTGAGGAATGAGAGCGGCACGGGAGGTTCTTGTGACTGACAAAGACTTCATATAGATAGGCCTAATATGCGCGCCGTGATAACTTTTATCGACGTCAATTTGTATGGGCAAAATCGATAAAATGGCACGATAACCGCCTATCACGGCGCGCATCTTAGGCCTACAGATTTGACTTGTGATTTGTGTACTCTTTCACGTCATAATATTAATGTCAATATCACGGATCACCCCTCCCCGTGCCACTTCCATACCTCAGGCACCGACTGAGATAAGCATCTATTAGCGACTATAGTTTGTCGACTACAGCTATAGTCTGATCCGTGAGCACGTAGAATTTTGTCCAATGACCCCAAGCTACCCATCCTTATCGCTCGCGCGTAATTATATTGCTGTCGCGACTGTGCGACGGGCGCCCGCAGTGAGTGTGCGAGCGCGACAGCAACAGCTCTTGGTCGCTCGCAACTGACTCAGTGGAGTCGTTTAGTCAAATCATTTATTGATACTTATTATCAATTTATTGAGTGTTATATCCCAGTCCAGCACAGTCTGCCTACTAGTTAGTAGCCCCTCTTTAACCGGATGCATGATAGCCAACCCAACCGCCTATTTAAATGTTCTGCATATTGTATTATTTTATTCCTCGTGAATCACATCGTTTCCGATTGGCCTGACTCACCATCGCTTGGCTGGCCTCTAGGCTACCGAAACTACAAAAATTTGCACGTCGGTTTTATTCAGTCAACGTAGTATTTTCACCCGTGAGGATTTGTCCGGTATTATTTGATTTTCCGGTGCTTAATCGTCGGTTAAACATTTTGTCAAAACACCGTGAATTTGACTTTTAAATTAGTCACAAATTCGATTTGTTCTCTTAAAACTAGCTCAAGTGGATTTTACAGTAGTCTTGTCTTTAAATCCTTCGCTGATAACACACTGACATTATACACCACTAAATTTTTATCACCGAAAAAATTTTAACAGGTTATGTAGAAACGTGTGGAATATTAAAAGCAAAAGAAAAAGAAATGGTTTTCATGAAGTTAATTTTTTTATTAAATTTTCGTTAGTCCGTATTTTACGCGTCACAGCTGGGTCACTCCGCCGCTCGCTAGAGTAGTCGTACGCGCTCGCACGTTGCATCGATCTGTCTGTCTCGCTCACGCCTCGACCACGCTTCCAGTGTTATTATTACATACTTAGTTAACTTAGACCATTATTAATTCTAATAAGTGTTACATTATCGTACTTAAATAGTGCTAGCGACGCGTGTGTCAATAAATTACCAATTTTAGGAGGATATTTTGAGTCACTTTATTTTACTCTTTTTTTTGCACAAATGGGATCAGTATCAATAACTCATTACCCAGAATTTTTTTTTTCGGTGATTAAAATTTAGTGGTGTATTTTGCGCTAAATTTACCTCCATCTTTGTTATACTTTTTCCCAAATGTCCATCTGGGTCATGTTAATAATATTTTGTTCGTTCATTCTCCGCGACATAACTTTTGTTTACTTCACGCTCAGCTACGCACGTGGGAGAATTTTTTCCTAATTCGAATTGTGTTTGAATTTAGAATCCATCCGTTTGGGGTGCGCTTGAGTCGGTTTT